TAAATCAAGCAAATTGCAACCAAAAGTGAGCAAGAGTGGCAATATTAATTTCTGATAAAATAAACTTTAAGACAAAAATGACCATCAGTGACAAATAAGGACATTATATAATGATTAAAGGATCATTTGAACAAGAGGACACAACAATAATAAATATATACACACCCAATGAAAGAGTTCCAAAATACGTAAAGCAGGATTTAACAGAATTGAAAAGACAAACAGATGACCCAACAGTGATAGTAGGAGACTTTAATACACCACTTTCAACAAAAGATAGAACTGGAGAAAACAAAGAAGCACAAGAACTAAACAATACACTCCACCAACTTGACCTTAGAGGCATCTACAGAACACTTCACCCAACAATAGCAAATATACATTCTTTTCCAGCATACACAGAATATTCTCCAGTATAGACCATGTGTTAGACCACAAAGAAAACCTCAATAAATTTAATAAAAACATTGAAATCCTGCAAAGCATCTTCTCAGATCACAATTCTATAAAAATTAGAAACCAACACTAGGAAGAGCAACAGAAAAAAGCAAATGCATGGAAACTGAATGACATCCTCCTCAAAAACGACTCAGTAATAGAAGAAATAAAAAATGAACTTAAAAAATTTCTTGATCAAATGAGAATTAAAACACAACATATCAAAATCTTTGGTACACAGCAAGAACAGTGATCAGAGAGCAATTTATAACAACAGATACACACATCAAATTGGAAGGAAGGTTGGGCAATCTACTTCTGTAGTGATACTGCCTCAGAAACCCAAGGAGGGGTCGCTGTGAGTCAGGGCTGACTCGATAGCACATAACAACAACAACACACACGTCAAAAAAGAGGAAAGAGCCAAAATCAACACCTTAACCCAACATCTCCAACAATTAGAAAACAAGTGGCAAAAAAAGCCTACAGTCACTAGAAGAAAAGAAATAATAAAGATTCGAGAAGAGATAAACAGAAAATGGAAATACAATAGAAAAAATCAACATGACTAGAAGTCAGTTCTTTGCAAAGATCAATAAAATCAATAAATCACTGACAAACTTAACAAAGGAACAGAAGGAGAAGATGTAAATAACATGAATAAGAAATGAAAGAAGTGATGTCACAATAGAAACAACAGAAATAAAAGGAATAATATAAGGATATTATAAAGAACTCTACTTCAAATTTATACTACAAATTTGAAAACTTAGAAGAAATGGACAGATTTCTAGAAACACACTACTTATGTAAACTAACACAGACTAAAGTAGAAAAGTTGAACAGACCCATAACAAAGGAAAAAATTGAATAGGTCATAAAAAAGTTACCAAAAAAAATGTCTTGGGCCAGATGGTTTCACTGGAGTATTCCATCAATCATTCAGAGAAGAGCTGATACCAATCCTACTCAAACTATTCTACAACATAGAAAAGGATGGAATCCTCCCAAATTAATTTTATAAAGCAAGCATAACCCTGTAAAGCACAACCAGGCAAAGACACCACTAGAAAGGAAAACTACAGACCAATATCCCTCATGAATATAGTTGCAAAAATCTTCAACAAAATTCTAGCTCATGGACAACAACAAGATATCAAAAAAATAATACATTGTGACCAAGTGGGATTCATACCAGGTATGCAAGTATGGTTCAACATTAGAAAAGCAATCAATGTAATCCATCACATAAGTAAAATAAAGGAAAAGAATCACATGATCATATCAATCGATGCAGAAAAGGCATTTGATAAAATCCAACACCCTTTCCTGATAAAAATTCTCAGAAAAATAATAGAAGGGAAATTCCTCAACATAATAAAGTGCATATTATGCAAAACCAATTGTTGTTGTTATGTGCCATCAAGTCAGCCCTGACTCATAGCGACCTCTCCTTAGGTTTCTGAGGCAGTATCACTACAGAAGTAGATTGCCCAACCTTCCTTCTGAGGAGTGGCTGGTGGGTTTTATTTGCAATGGGGAGAGACTGCAGTCAAGTGCCTTAGGCACTATGCTACCATAGCTCCTCGCATTATATTAGGGGGAAAAAAAAATCTTTTTGCTGTCAACACATACTGCTCTGA